AGAGAAGAGTGACAGATTGCATGTTAGGAGGAAATCTGAGCTTGAAATTAATTGGAAGCTTGCTGCGGCTGAGGCTGCAAAAGAGTAATTTAAAAATTTTCTGAATTACATAAATATATGAAAATTCTGAGCTGCATGTGTACTAAGAGTTGCCTCATGCAATAATGGGTAAATAAAGTGGAATTATAGTGGAATTTTCACCTTTTTCCCTCTCATTTTATAATCGGCCTTTGCTCTCCATAGCTTAGCATGAGAAACTGTGCTCTCATTTTATAATCGGCCTTTGCTTGAGATGAAATCTCTCCATAGCTTAGCATGAGAAACTGTATTAATTTTCTTAGGTAAATGCTAAGTATCTAGAAATATGCATGCTGTAAGCATATGTGTGAGTGAATGTATCTTCCCCTGTATGCAGATAGAATAAAATCAAGACACCCCATAAGTATCAGGCATGAGCAACAGCTACATATCAAAAAGTTTGGAAAAATTGGAGTTTTTAATTATAAGTGAATATTTCCTTATTTAGTGACCTAACAAATGTTTTTAATTAAATTGTGCTGTACGTAGGTGTCACTTTGTATTAAAACAATTCACTTTCTTCATAGAGACCGCTTTCCCTTTCTTCAAAATTGAACATTAAGTGCAGTAGTACTGCAGTGTTGGAGTCCATACAATCTTAAAGGCTCAAAATACCACATTAAAAAAGAGAAAAAGTAGTCTTCAAAGCAGTCTGTGGAAGTTGCTCCCCTACCTTATGAATGTTTATGCTAGTATTTTAGAATATTAGTAAATATTGAAGAATAAAACTCTAAAGAATTAGTAAATACAGATGCCTAAAGTGAAATTTGCAAACAACACGAAATGCCTTCAAGCTTCAAATGTAACTGAACTTTTGTAGGATTTTTTTGCTTCTAAAGGATGGAAATATAGTTCCATATAGACTTTGGTATTTATTGAGGCTGTTGTACAGCTTGGTATTTAGAGGAGTTCTCCACTGGTCTTTAAATCATACACAAATATCTGCTGTTGGTGTAAAAGAAAAAAAGTGTCATGAACAATATGTCAAGGGATCAGGTTAATATGAGTTATACAAAAATAAAAAAGGAAGAAAAAGAAAATGTCTTATAACTTTGATCCTTTTATAGTTTTATATGGTAAAGGAGAAAAGTGATGCAGGGAAAGTAGCTTTTGGGTTTTTTGGATTTATTTGTATGCATTATTGCTTTTTCTTCAATAGAATTAAAAATGCTAAATTTCATGCCATTGCTTCTGTAGAAGAAATAATAGAATTTCTTTTCTTCTTTGCCTACCTATATAGTTTTGCATGTATTTTTGTTGTAGGAATATCCTTGGTGGTGGGTTTTCATGAGAAGCAGAGTTCTGTCACTGATAAACCTCCTACCTTCCGGGGGCTGGATCTGGCAGGATAAATAGAACTCCTGGAGTCTTTTTCTTGTGTTTAGTTTTGTGTTATATGTCATAGTGTAACAGTAATCAAATAACTATAAAAAATGGAGTCTTTAGGAAAAAAAAATCAACCCCCCCTCTTTTTTAATGGAAACAAATCTTATAACTTACTGTCATTACCAGTAATTGTATATAAAAAGTAGAGAAGGGGGAGAGGTGCTGCCACATATTTTGTGTCTGGCTTGCACATCCGTATTTCCAGGTAATATATTCTGTATTGTTTTGCCTTATACTCCTTTTATATTATTTTTCCTTGTTTCAAGACTCCTAACAGTCTCTTTGCAGGCATTAGCTAACATCAGTGAAATACTTACAGATTTGCAGCTATTTTTAAGGGAAGCATGTGGAAAAAAAATTCTCTCTGGTGCCATGGTGTCTATTAAATACTTACACTGTTCCCTACATGACCGTTCTGGTTAAGCCATGATAATTGTTACAAGAGTTGCCAGTTTCCACTTCTAAATCTCTTCTGCCTGTGTTTGCAGCTATGTCATCCTATCTTTTAATTGTGAAGTCTGAACTTCCTGGTGCTGTTGCAGGATTCCTGAGTGGAGCTGATGAGAGTGGGTAAGGAAAAAAGCCTTCAAATGTCATGTATTTGTTTTGAGGACTGTCGAAGGAGATGGGTGCTGATGCTTTCCTCTGATCTCACATGCTAAAAAGCGTTAGTGATTTACAGGAGTACTTGGAATATAAAATGTATCTGGCATGTGTAATCCTTCTGCAGCACATGAGAGCCTGATTCTCTCCTCATAACAATTTCCCATCATACAACCTTAAATCAGTGGCAAAACCCAATTTGGAAAAAATCTCCCCTGCATAAAAATTTAAAAGGAGAATCAGGGAGGGGACAGGAGGGAGAGGAGGAGAAACATTTAAACTGCTGTCATGTTATCACTTCACATATTTCAAAACCACAGTACAAAAATGGGCAGGCATTTAAATTTAAATACTTTGTTGTCTTGCTCCAGTAATTGGACTTGTCTTGGGAAAAATGCCAGGTTTCCAGACTTTGTTTATAATTCCCTAGCTTGGCTCCCAGTAAAGAAATTCTTCTTTGCAATTGAGCTATAAAGCTGTGTGTAATGAGTGTATCCCTCAAATTTCTATCAGAACTGTTGCAAGAAATCTGTGCTTGTGCTAAGACAAACTTTGCAGCTTCAGCACTGGAATATGTTGTTCAAATTATTACAATGCTGCTGTCATTCACAACAGGGTATCCTTGCAAGATAGCACAGTCCAACAGCCATATTTTCAGGTGTTTTCATCTCTACCATAAGCACTTTCTCTGGATTGAGATTTGGTGAAACTGTCCAAGACTGTGATGCTTGTACAACACAAATCCTGCGGGTGAATTTTCAGCTTGAAATTAGGTGGGGGGGCTTGTTTGTTTTGGTTTTTATTTTTAATGGTGCTTTAGTTCAAGTTATATTTTTCCTTTGCAGTTTTTCTGGTTTATAACCAAAATTTTGAGAAGTGAAGGGTGATGGTGATCTTAGTTTCTGCCTTTCTCCTTTCCCTGCCCTAGCAATAACACAGATTTCGTAAGAGCTTTTAGAAACTATTAAGTTTTGTGTGATATGGCATTTTTAGTCTGTTAATGCATCTTTTCCAGCTGTTGTAGTCATCAGCATTTGATTTAGAGCCTAACACCTTCTCCTTCGAGATTTTACTTGAACTCCTCTCTCATACAGAGTGACATTGAGCCTGCTACTGTTCTTGCTGGATGTGTGTTCCAATTTCTCTCTCCCTATATTTATCCCATAGATAGCATCACATGCTGCTGTTTTTTTCTTTTAAATGCCAACTCTGCTGATGCAAACTGACAAGAAAACTAATAATCTTCTAAATAAACAGATTAGGAGCATTCATATAATGGTAGAATCCAGAGATCCTAGTTGCTCACCAACTCACAGGCACATGTGCTGGGCAGAGGATTATGCTGTCCAGCCAAGACAGTTTAAACAAGTAATTTATTAAGATACCTACTTGGTAATACTCCCATCAGAGTTTATTGTTCACCAAGATGCTAATGCAGAGTTTCCAAATGAGAGCACTGCAGAGGCAGTCAGGTTGACTGATGATAACAAATCAGGTATTCTGGTAATTCTTACTGTGCTCTCAGCACTGCCACCACCCATGCATCCTCCTTACCTGAAATAAAAGTTTTTGTTGCGTGGATGAAGGTTAGTTGCCTTGTATTTGCAAAGAGCTGAAACTGTTCATAAGATATTTCATACACTGCACCATATTGAGTGCCATAATAGAGCATAACCTTTTGTGTACATGTATTTATTCCCAGATGTTCAATAGCTCTTTAATGATGGAGTTTTTTAATTGTAGGAGATAGTTCCACACAAATAGGTAATCCAATACCTAACCTGCATAGCAATTTATTTATGCAAAGGGCATAAATATTGACTAGTTTGATTGAACTATTTTAACTAGACACTTGTTTCCAGATGTGGTTGCACGACTGCTCTGTTAAGTCAGTGTGGCATCTGATACGCTCTTGTTTGGGTGCAGAATTAATTTATCTTAAAATGTAGTTAGAATATATCAAAAGTGACAGTTAAACTATCTGCGAAAATTATTTTGTGTACATATATCATCCCCAAACATACTTTCATAAAATATGTTTGAAGACTGTTTTGCACATTGAATTATTTTTATAGATTAAGGTAAGCATATGTGCATGTGTTGGAAAGGATCAGAGCCAGCGTGTAATACATCTTGATGTTTTACATCTTTATTAAAAGACAAAAACACATAATATAAACAGTTGTTAATTGCAAGTTGAGATGTATCAGTCTGCTTTAACAAGAATTTTGCATAGTTTTGATGACATGAACATAGTTTCAAATGAGGATTGGTTTAAAAAGTAGTAATTTGTGAGCCCTCTGTTAACAGTTAATGACCCTGTCAGGAGGATATGATTGATGCAATTAAGTTGTCTTGCTTGTGTGTTATATAATTGATATGGACTGAGCATAAGATCCTAATTTAGAACATATGAATCTCTTGTCCTGTTGCATTCAGGAATGAAATTAAAGCAATTTATAAATGTCCGCTTTTAGTTAAAATGTGGAGGAGGGATAAGGAACATCTGCATGCCAAAGTGTATTCAGTAGAGTTGAAAGATTTATATTTATCTTGGAACATTTTTATCATATAAGATTAAATTTGCAGATCAAATTGATTATAAAAGAAATACAAAAAACATTTGTATTGCCTTTGCAAAATAAGTATATCTTTACAACAGTATTTTGGGGAAAAATGATTTTTGGTAGTCAGTAGATGGTCCACTGTTTAGTTTTGGTTTTCTTTTTTGGATCTCTTTAAATTAATTGTATATTCAAAAATTAAAAGTTTACAAAGTTATTTTCTCCTGTTTTGCATCACCTCATTTAAATTTTTTTTTCCTATCCCTCCCACCCCTCTGTATTTTGTTTTTTATTGTGCTTTGTTTTCTCCGTTTACAAGAGAATAGCCAAAATCATGTTTTTTTCTGGCCTGTTGAACACAGGTGACTTAGGTATATGTGGGACCTCTGCATTATCTGAGGCATTTTAGCTAAGCTTGCACACAGTGCAGCATCTTCATGTATTTGCATCCTAATTGCTTCTAATACTAGCATCTACTGTGAAAGAAGGAAAGCAGGCAAAACAACCTAAAAATATGTGAACATTAGATATAGCAAGGTACACTTTGCAACCATGAACTCAGGAATCACATCCTAGTTAACACGACTGTTGGGCTTGTAATGTAATTTTTGAAGGGTTTAGATTTTTTTTTATATAGAGATTGTCAGTTAAGAGGCACTTGGATATTGATAGAGCAAAGATACCCTCAGCTGTGTTCATACCTTTATTTTTTAAACAAGTGGCACAATGTCTGTCCCCTGTGTATGATAGTAGTTAATAAGCATCCAAGGTAATTTTTTTAACACAGGTGTTACGCTACTTTTCTTAGGATAACTTGAGGTGCTGCCTGTTTATTAGGTGCTAACCATATCCTGGACTAAATAAACTTGAAGGTCAAAGGCCAAGGTGTTTATAGGTAGTAAAGTCAGAGGCTGATGTGCAAGATGTTTATCAGTACAGGATATGGTTATTTCCAAGTTAGGGGGAGCCACCCTCAAGATGTTTCTGTTTCTTGTACATCTGTACTTTCCTTTGTTCAGATTTGAGATTTTTGACACTTTAAGTAGGTTTTAAAGGCATGAAGACTTTATATAATACAAACCTGTATAAACAGCATGTGAGCCTGGAAATTATTATTTGTTGTTATAGTCCTAGTGGTTTTATATATATATCTGTATATGTTTTAGTACTCTTAAATTTTGTATCCATCCTAAGTAGCTTTTCCAACAGGTCTTGGTACCTCGATGGGAGGCTGCTGCTACTGATTACTTCGGTCTGCATTGTTTTTCCTCTTGCACTTCTTCCTAAAATCGGTGAGTAATTAAAGGAGAGCAGCAACTATTACTCTATTTTAGTAGTAATTACAATTGAAGACTTTAAAACCTTAATGGGTTATTTATTTATTTTAGCTGGCAGGGGGCTGTTGATGGTGGGGACTACTTAAGTTGTTCTGCTTTGCAGCCCTGCCTAGTTAACCTATTACTTGGGTTGCGGTAGTATTTTGTCTGCAATACTAAAATAAAATCTTTACAGCAGAACATTAAAGAGCTGCATTTACTTACAGCATGCCATTAGTGGTAAGCCAGTTCTAATTCTGCCCTACAAAACTACATAAATGATCTGTGACAGGCAGTTGGAATGTTGTTATTCTGAGTCCTAAGCCCCAGATACCGAGCACTGTAATAGAAAACATGCCCAAAATGTAAAGCTTTAGCTGTACATTAGGATCACTTTCCTTATAAATTCTCTTTTATTTTTACTGTTATTTTACAGGCTTTCTTGGCTACACAAGTAGTTTATCATTTTTCTTTATGGTGTACTTTGCTCTTGTGGTAAGTTAAAAATCAGTGCGCAGCTTATCTGTTTTTTTTTTTTTTCTTATTGTTTAAATGTTTTTATAAGCCTATTTTGAAATGAATTGTCTTTCCTCCCTTACGTTTTATATGAAATATAGAATTTTCTTTGAGTTCAGTATACACTTGCTTGGACAGATGACAGTTATTTTGCTGAGGCATGAAAATGTGTATGAACTTTTGAGCATGTGAAAAGATTTAAAATAATTATATTTTGGACTGGTAAATGTAGCAATATTTTTGTTTTGCTGACAGTGCAGTGAAGGGAACTGGCACATACACTTTTGTTTCCCTACTACTAATGGAATGGAATTCTGTTTTCTTAGCTTCTAGCTATTACTTACTGTAACTAGCACAGAAGAAAATTTAATATATTTCAAATAAATTAAATTTACATGTACGATAGAGTGACGGAGTTCAAAAAAAAGGCAAAGAAAACTAGAATTTTATTAAGGCAGTTTACAAGATTCATTAATATGTCAATGACCTTATTCTTTTTTTTGCAGCTGAAAGGAAAAGTTCTTTTCTCTAAGCCATATGGGGGTTTTTGACCCTGATATTCACCCTCTCAAGGCCCCTGTGCGGTAGATGTTTCCAAATATCACAAGTGAGACATGCTAGGCAGATCTAAGTGCAAAAATGTGCCTTTAAGTTGCTTTTTTTCTTTCCCCCAGGAAAGATGTATATTAATGCACATGTGTAATATGTAGTACAACCAAGCAGCTCACACTCTGTCATCTAGGTATAGAAATAAGAGTCTTATTTGGGAGACTGGAAAAGTGTTTCCCTTCTCTCCTGTCATTCTGGCTTGTGCTGACTTGCATTTAATACCTGCTTTACAAAGGGATAAACAGAGTTGAAGGCAAGTTGAACAAACATGCCATCCGGGAGACCAAGGCAATCCATTAGGAGCTAAACCATGTGATAAAACCAAACTTCAAAGCTGTCAAAACATCTCCCTGGGGCATCCCCTGAGACCAGGGGTGTTTGTAGGACCTTGGGAAGTTTTCTTCCCCAGCACTGCATTGAGAAACAGCAACAGCCTCTCCAGAGCTAATGGATATTTGTTTGTGATATTTTTGAATTACCTTAACTTTTGACCTCTCTTCTAAAAATTTGCTTAAGAAAAAAAGGCCAGTTATAATGATTAAATAGGTCTTGGCCTGCAGCTAGTTGCAGCAGTTTTAAGGTAAGTTCCTAGGTTTCGATGGGAATGTGTGCACATCTCTGAAGTTAGCCATTGTAATGGGTGTAAGCTTTTAAAAACAATATTGGGCCCAGAAAAGGCAAGTGTGTAAACAAGACTTGCACACTGTGCATTACACTGGAAGATGTTTGGATGTAGATTTTAGTTCTGTTTCTTTATAGCAAAAACCACTGGTATAAAGTGTAATTAAGGAGTGCTCAGACTACTAGGTTTATTATGAAATGATATAAATGATAAAAATTGTCTGTTTTTTTTGTTGTTAAGAGACAAAGAAGAAGCCAAAGCAAATCTTAGCGAGGTCAAAACTTTTCAAAGCCATTATGTGTGTTTAAAGAAAACTAATATTCTTTACTGAATGTCTTCTGTGACTTGCTCAAGTGTTGAAACTAAAAGGCATCATATGCGTTTTCATTTTCATATCTAATTGCTTTGAAGTGGGTGATAGGCACTGTTGAAATGGCCATTTAGTTTGCACAATGTTAATTTTGGTACGGCAAATATGTTTTAATCTGCTCCAGAAGAAAACTGTTGGTCATATGGAAGCAATACAATTATATTTTGCATATACACTAGTTTTCAAGTGCACACCATCTGTTCAGCTTCACACCAGCAAGCCACGGCTTCCGTCCTGCCTGCAGAAAGGAGAGGTACAATAGAGCAGAGACAGTATAGCCCAGTGGACATATGTCTTGGGCATATGTCTGGGGCAGGATGGTCCCGTGAGTGCTCCGAGCACAACGTCAGGAAGCTCCTCTGGGCTCTCCCTGTGCCCTGGGGCACCTTGGCAGGTCGCAGCTCTCCTGCCTGGACTTCAGTAGCTTTTCCTGTGAAATAAAGATATCGGTTATTGTCTTCACTGGGAGAAAAAGAACTAAAACACCAATCTCCTCCAATAAGATAGAGGAGAAAACCTGTATGTATATGTGTAACTGCTAATTCAGACTCAGATTCTGTGAGGTCCTAAAGTACTTCCTTTCATTTCTGATTGCTTTTCCCTGTCGTGGATCCTATATGAAACTAAACATTTGTTGCTTTTATCACCTCTCCTCTTGCTATGTTGGATGCTGGTGAGAAGTAAAGACAGATGATTTTTTGGTGGGGCCATCTCTAATGGTAGCTTGTTCGACAGGGGTGTTAATGACTCCTGGCAGGATTTTTCTCAATCTCTTGTTTCTGCTCCAAGAACAGATTGTTCTGATGCAGACTGGGACCCTGCCATGTGCAATGAGTGATGTTCAGCATGGAGAGCCCTGCTCAGATGAGCGCTCTCCGTGTTGCTAGACAGCCGAGGTGCCTGTTTTCCCACTGCAGGATATGAAAAAGCAACATTAGTGTGAAGGCTAGAGCATCTTGAGACCTCTGACTTTATTTTTTAGCAGTGCTTTTGGTGTGAGCTTAGCATACGCTGTTTACATTAGAATTTATGTTCAAATTTTGGTTTTGATTTTTTTTTCATTTAAAATCGAATGTTTGTTGCACTCAGTGACAATGTTTACAAAAAGAGTTTGAAGTTTTGGAGGAAGATTGTCCGTGCTCTCTGCATGACTGCATTTGGCTATAGCCAAATTAAAAATCTTTTCCTGTTGGTGACCTCATTGCAAATACTGTCAAGTACAAAGGAACGCAACAGATTTGAATGATTAAGCAAGTAGGGAAATGAAAGTATAGATTTTAAATGCAACTAATGCTTTTTCTTTTGTCTTCTTTTATTTTCTCTCTCTCTTTTTCCCTGAATCTGTATTCCCTTCATTTTAAAAGAACATTCTTCAGATTTTTAGGTTTGTATTTCCTTGGTCCCCTCTCTGCACTGTTTTGGTTATACACCCGCTTTTGCTCTTCAGCTTGCAGGACTTTCCCCCTGCAAATCCCAATCCCAAATGACTTCCCCAAAACCTGCACTTTAGTTTCATGCACTTTTTCATTGCTTAGGAAGCCTCTTCCAACCATAGCCAGAGCTCCCACAAAGCCTTTTTACCTTGGAGCCTCCAAATCCTCTGCTTTAGTTTCCCTTGAGAACCACCATCCTGGAGCACCATTTATCCCTTTCCCTGCTGCTTATGGTCTTCCAGAGTCTGCAGTTGCCTGTACTATTGGGATCTTCATCCCCTCTCTTGCACCCCTGCTTAGATAAGGTTACTATTTACATTGCACAGAGGGAGGCAGTTGAGCCAAACAGTGACCAGATAAGAACAGATCTCCTGATGTAAAGCAAAGTAAATGTAGTGTCAGAAATGTGGCTGGAAGATTCCCATTTCCTTTGAAAATCATTTTCTCCCTGGGACCAAAAACCACTTTTGAGCAAGCTGCTTCCAAGTTCTGTACCTTGAATTGTTTCAAGTTGTTTTTCTCAGTCATGAAATGTAAGTCTTGTGTTATTGCCACATACCCTGTATTTTCTTTACCCCTGTTTTGTCTGGAGGTAGCGTTTGTTTGCTGCTCTTGGCACTGGTGACAAGAGGGAGCATCTAATCTTTATTCTCTGGGAAACGCCACTTGGTGGAAAGCAAACAGTAGATTCCTTGGGACAGAAGAGGGGCTGTCCCCCGTGTTACTCTTCTCATGAACCAGAGTCCTTAATTAAGGTTTTAATTATTTGCTCCAGGCTTCAAAAGTATTATAACCTCTAAAAAGCCAGGCAACTACAATAGCAAATTAATTAGGGTAAAGAGAGCAATGCAACTATCATTTTAAAATGGACTCTCGAAAGAGGCAGTAACCTCTCTTATTTTAATTTCCCTTTGATTTTTCAGCCCTGTTTCTTGGCGGTCCCTAAAGCAGCAGGGTGTAGATAAAGCCCCAGTGACATTCTGTGACAATAATTGCATTTATTGTTTTTCCTCTGCTTTCTACTCCAAACCATATGTTTCTGCCTTTTAAGATTAGCCCCAGGCTCTGCTCTATCTCTGTTAAGGGCCCGGGACAGCTGAGACAGAGCAGCTCTTCTGGACGGGGGGCGCTTGGGGAGGAGGCCCGGGGTGGCTGCAGAGCCCTGCCCGTGTTGCAGCCCGGGCCAGACCCCATCCGAGGGCCCTGCGCTCGGTTTTCCAGCCCTCCTTCCTGTGGCCGAGCAGCCGCACGGTTCAGCTTGCTGGGTCCACGTAGCTCCCTGCTTCCTATTACAAGTTGGATGTATTAGCCAGGTACATGTCAAAGTTAACCTCGTTTTTAGGATATTCATAAATTAAATATGCTGTCTTTGCAGGCTGTAATTAAAAAATGGTCCATCCCATGTCCTCTACCTCTAAATAGTGCAATAGAGAACTTACAGGTAAAGTGCATGCAGTTTTGAAGCTCTTCTCATTTTATTAATATCTGTAATGCGTTTTACATTAACACTTTCAGAATTACTTGTAGTTTAAATTCCTTTTTAATCATTTTGATTTTACTACCTGAAACTTTATAGTTTGTAGATACTTGGTTTATGGTCATTCTTATGTCGTTTTTCTCTTTATATTTTACAGATTTCAAATTCTACTGGGGAGTGCAAAGCAAAGCTCTTTCATTTCTCAAAAGAGGTAATACTCTGTATTAGCAATAGGCTAGCCAAGGTGGGTTGTTCTTAAAGATATTTAAGCCATATCCAGGGCAGGCTATTTTTCCACAAAACTAATTACAGGCTGTTGAAGCATTTCCTGTATTTGTTGTTGGTTGTTACCCAGGCTCACTGCTCTTCTATATGAGGGTCAGTTGTCACAGTTAGCGCTTACGAAAACACATTGCAGATATGAACAGGTATTGGTCATATAGCAGATATGACCGATATGCAGATGTTTATTCGTTAAGTATAATGGATGCTGTGCTGATCAGCCTAATGGTGCAGTCAGGTCACTGCCAGAAGCCAACTTAATATCCCTCAGCTGGAGAACACAGGTTTCCTTAAACTGACTGGGCCTAACTTGGTTTGTTTGTTTGTTTGTTTATTCTCGCCTGAAGCTCATTGTTCAGGCCAAATGCAGTCTTGTGTATTGCATTGGATGCCAGATCTGGTGTTTGATAATTAATGTGCTATTTTAAATCCTATCTCCGCTCTTCAAGGCATATAGGAGGGGAAGTAGCCTCTGGGTGCTGAAGAGGAAAGGATAAGGAAAAAATAAATTGGGATAGCCCTGTAGTGCATTCGAATTTGAGAGAGACACAGTTGGTTTCTGAAAGTTTTTTTCTGAGGAACACAGTTGTATTCTGGAAGAATACAAAATCTGACTCCCCATCTCCCTCTCACCCCCCACCAAAAAGAAAAATTAAAAAGAAATATGGGACAATGGAAATATAAGAGAGCTGTTAACCTGGTAGATCAAAGGAGAAGTTCAGCTGCAAGCAGAAACACCCACCGTGAGATTACAGCCTTTTGTGCTCTGCGGAGTGTTGGAACTCATCTGTGCTACATTTGCCACTTTAGCTCAATGAGTCAAGAGTGTCGTAGTTTTACTGGCCCTGATTATGTCAATTAAAAAAATACTTGTTATAGTTTAGCTTATTCCTACATGAGAATTGAAATAAGCTGTGTTAGATGATTCATCTCTTCTAGAACAAGTTTTTGAAATAATAAACCACTAATTGAGTGGTTACAACTTTAATTATGTGGTTGTTTTAAAACTTCAGATGTCAAAGCATGTTATGTTTTCTGGCAGCTATATCAAAATTTTTGTGAGGGAATAATACAAACATAGGGAAGTCAGAGTAAGGGAATCAATACTGTGGTAGGAAATGATGAATATTAGAATTTTACTACCTTGGAAAACTTTGTGAATGACCTACTGACTCTGGGGCAAATACTATTTTTTACTTAGGTACTGGGCCTCAGTATAGCTCGAAAGAGTCTTTCAGTTGCTAGCCCATAGCTATCATGATATGTTGCTGATATGCTGATGCTTATCCTGGTCATGATGTGTTAAGCTATGACCATGATGTGAGGAGATGTTAGGTGAGAAGGTACAGTTTTGTGGAATGATTGTGGAATGACCAGAGGTGCCATTCTGGATTACGGATCTGTTTCTCAAAGCATTAACATGAAAAGATCTCCCTTGACTTCCAAGGCATTGAGCTAAATTTTAAATTAATCCTGATAATTTTCTGATCATCTAGCACCAAAGAGCATGAGAGATGTTTTGCTTCTCTTTTAGAGTGCTTATGCAATACCGACGATGGCCTTCTCTTTTCTCTGCCATACCTCAGTCTTACCCATTTACTGTGAGCTCCAAAGGTAACGTATGGAAACGCATGCAGTATTAAAATGTAATGATAATATTTCTGTTGCATTTTCCCTAAATTAACCTTGAATAATTTTTATTTTCAAATCAGTGCCATCAAGCAATGGAAACGAAGTAGCCTTCATGTTTTGGGGATATGCATAGTTTTAGCCTGTGTCAGCACTGGCTTTTCCTCTCTTACAGGAGAGAAAAGTAGCAAATATGATCCCATCAGCAGTGTCAGTACATTGTTCTGGCCATCTGGAGAAAAAAAGGTCATTTGTTAAGGTACTTACTAGCAAAATTTTTATTGCTGTAACTGAATCTGCATTTGGCCACATTGGATTCAGTGCTTTTTGACCCACATTCTGCTCCTGGCTCTGAATTTGCATCGTCCTGTGTAAATAAAATTTTTGATTTTAAAAAATAACAGGTCACCTTGGTGTGTCTAAATCTACCAGATGGGGACATTGTTAGTAGTCTGCAGGAAAACTACATTTTAATTACTGAAGTAAAAATACTTTGAGAAAAAACATTGTGATCAGTGTTCCACAATGTAGATTAACAGCACTCTTCTTTTTTTTCTTTTTCTTTCCACATTTTAGTCCATCCAAAAGGAGAATGCAGAATGTGACTGTCACAGGAATTGGTTTGAGTTTCCTAATTTACTTTATATCTGCTTTGTTTGGGTACCTGACTTTTTATGGTAAGCATATTCTTAAAGTGTTTTTTAGAATGCAAGTTAATAATAATAAGCAATGCTTGATGCACCTTGCACTGTTCAGTATTTGTAATATGTCTTTTTTGATCCCAGTATTTTTTTTTATTTCACTGAAATCCTAAAAATTAACCTCCAAAAGCCATCCATATGAAGTTACAAAATAGCTGGGGTATTTCAAGTTTGTTTATGTTTATTGCTTGTATCCTCTTGAATTTGGTCCTGTGAAGACAAAACCTAATTTTTGTAAAGTATTATTCAAGGAATAATAGAAAACTTGATATCTGATGGGAATTTGCTGGTCCAGCCAGTTTTAACCACTGCTGTAAGGCTGTGCCTCTACTAGTGAAGTCCAGTGTTCTTATTGATGCTGTGATATCCCCAGGCCATCTGGGAGCTGTAACTAGCACTGAGGCCGCTGACCCACAGCAAGCCAGCCCTAAGATCAGGGAGACCTGCAGTTTTGCTGGTCTTGAGTAAAAGCGAACCAGAAGACTGAAGAAAAGAAATTATGGGGAACATGAGAAAATCAGAACAGTTGAATCAGGCAAAGAAAATGGGTAGTTTTGTGCCTTGACTCCAGCGGAAGCCAGTGACAAAGCCTAAGAAAGAATAGGGCAGTGTAAGCTTGGCACTGGGCTTCCTGTGCACTTGCAGCTTCAGTAATTATTATGTGAGTTTAAGTCCTGAGATGTAGGTAATGTCTGCTTGATTAATGTACTGACACAGGGAGCACATTTTTTTGCAGATGCCAGTTTCTGGGAAATATAGCAGTAAAAGTGTTTGATGAAGTAAATATGCCTTTTTACTCCCAAACAGAAAAGTGAGGTATCTGCCTTTAAATTTATATGTATGAAACTTACCCTACCAAATAATGTAAGTAATGGCATTTGCTATAGAGCTTACATGGCCCATGTACCAATTTAATGACTCTGTGGTTGAACTCTTGAATACTTTTGGGTGCAGCTTTTTATTTGAGTGTAAGGACAGATGCCTGTCTGCTATTCCTGCATATGCCAAATATCCAGAAAGATTTTAGAACTACCCACATAGTGGCTTTTGTTTTTAAAGGTGCATCAAGAGTAGATGAGTGTCTATTTCATACAAGAGTTCTATTTGTCCTGTATAACGTAGCTAGCAGCTGTGTTGTGATCTGCTGAATGTTTAGCAGTTTGACAGTATTTTCAATATCTTTTCATGTAAAGTCACAGTGATGCCTTTTCTAAGAAATGTCATTTGGCTCTGCATATGCTGCTTTATGTTTGTGCTATGGGTTGTTTACTTGCATGGAACTCTTTATGAAATTGAATTGCCTCTGCTTGGTGATCTTAACTATCTTTTAGAGTGATATTATACAGACTCTGTCACCTAAATGCATCAGGATCCTTCTAACATCTTCTGCAAACTCAGCTTCTAATAGGATGGCCATATGCTAACCTGTGTGATTGGAATGATTAACATTTCTTAGAAGAGGCAGTAAAACAGTAATAGAAAAGTGTTCTGAATAGGATCTGTCTGGTTGGGATAGTGTCTGGCAAAGCACCAAAAACACAGACTTTCAGCAAGTAATAATTGCACAATAATGTAGTAATTCTACAACAGAATCATTTTTGCAAAGCTCAGTGTGTGTGGTGGAGAGCACAGAAAACTCATTGTTGAAGAAAGCAGCAATCTTATTTGGAAGTTTTTGGCCCAGTTGAGTGTGTTGCTGATGATCTCCTCTGTTATACTTTGGGTAATACAGGAATTCAGACTGATCTCCTTTGAGTATCATTATCTTCCTATGTCTATTCATTTACACATACAGAGGAATCATAGTCTCAAAAGTTAGTATTTTTTTTTTCATAAGAAATACGTTTTACAAGTATGGCTTGATGCTAATTATCTATCCAGCAAAACACTGGAATAGCCAGGAATATAGCCAGGAATAGAACATAAACTAGCATAGTTTTGAGGATTTCTTCTTTTCAAATAGAATTGTAGCTCTTCTCCCAAGTCATGAAATTTCACCTTATATAACGAAATCCTAGCAGGAACAAGTCTCCCAGCTGAATTCTGGCAGGCTACATGCAGGTTTTTTGAGCCTAGAGGAGTAAATCTATAGGTTACAATATTGCTGATCTGTCACATTTGGAAAAAATCTCATTGAAAACTAAAATGGGCTGCATATATATTTTTTGGTTCTTTGACTTAATAAAATGGAACTAGTACTTTTGATACTAATTTTATCTAAAAAAATGAAGTATTATTCTGCTATTTAAACAATTAAAACTTCCATTATGATCCTCTGAGTTAGTAGAAGTTTTAAGCCCTTTGCCAAATACCAGTAATTCTGGAAGTCCAGACTTATACCAGATGAATAATGCTTTTTGTTATCTAACTATTAAAACGGCTGTAGAAAAGGTTTGAAATTTGCGTGTGCTAATACCTGTATATTCCTTAATGCTTTCTGGCATTTTAAAAGACTCTTCTACAATTTACCTACATTTTTTCTTGATCCTTTCAGGCTACTAAAAGTTGTCTTTTTCTTTAAAGCCTAGCTAACATGGTGAAGTTCAGGTAAGATTTAACATAACACTGCCTTACTAGTGGATTGGATAAGTTTTATAGCATCTTTCTATGAGCTGAAATATCTTTCCTTCTAATTCTTTCTCCTCCATATTTCTATCTTCTCTCTTGATAGCTTTGCTTCAACAGAGGCTGGGCTTTGCTTCTTCAGTTTTTTTTTTTTTTTTTCAGTTTTCTCTAGGTTACCTATCAGGCAGAACTGATAAACCAGTTCTGCCAAGGTGATGCTTATGTGCACTCCCTCCCCTTCTGCATTAATCACAAACAAAATGATCAGTTTTGCTGTAAGATTAACATGTGTAGCTAGTTATTTTGTTCTTAATTCTCAAATGATTAGAAAAGCAATTCATTTTTTGATTTTTCAGACAAAGTGGACTCCGAATTACTGCAGGGTTACACCAGGTACCTGCCACATGATACTGTGATCATGACTGTTAAACTTGCTGTGCTCTTTGCTGTGATTTTGACAGTCCCTCTAATCCATTTCCCAGTAAGTACTCCTGAACGTTTTGAAGCTGGCATAAGCAATGGTAACAGTAATGCTTTGCAGACTGTAATATTTAAGTCACATCTAAGTTGTGTGTCTTATTCACTTGTCAAATGATTGATCAAAAACCACGTATTTGCATATGTTCCATGAACGCTCCAGAATAACAACAAACCACTAAGCTAATTTGTGCTTTTGAGACAGATTTTAGATTAAAACCAGCCCACAGTATTGTTTTTAATTTAGAGAATTTAGAACATGTAAAGTTTATTTAGTTTGCTTTTTTTTTTTCTCTTAAATTGAGTTTTGCTGACCTGGATTTTCGTGTCTACAAGAACACAGACACACATACACAATTGAAAACTCAGTTGTAAATTAGGAACATATATTGACCTATTTCACGATCAACTTCTAATTTAGCTTATCAATACCACGATAGAGTTGAGAGAATTCATTCAGTAATGACCAAAAATATTGTGGGTGCAAAACTGTACACATATAAGTTATATACCAGTTGGCAGTATGCTGATATTTGCCTATAAGCACACTCAGAAACAAAGCATTATCCCCACACCTCTCCCTCTCCCTTGAAAACAAGAACTGCTCCTTAAGACTAAGGAGCACATAAGAAGTACTGCTTTTATATATGTCTACTCCATGCTACAGAAGGACAGAACTTAATTCAACTATTGCTAAATTATTTGCAATTTAATTTAAAATATTCTCTCACATGTTGAATGGTGTAGTCAAATATTGAATGGAATTGTTTTTCTTAAATTTATGAAATTAAAATGTGATTAAAAGTAAGTGTTTATATATATTTAGCAATGCATTGTTTTACATTTTGTTTTATAGGCAAGGAAAGCTGTGCTGATGGTGTTTTTTTCTCATCTTCCTGTGTCGTGGATGTGCCATATTCTTATTACTTTAACACTGACTACAATTGTTGTTTTGTTTGCAATGTATGTGCCTGACATCAAACATGTATTTGGAGTAGTTGGTAAGGTGTTTTTTTTCTTCCAGAAATTTAGTATTATGATAAAGTAATATACTTCAGCATGCTTCAAGTAAAAATCTTTGTGTTTTTGAAGGTTCGACCACATCAACGTGTTTGCTTTTTGTATATCCTGGAGTGTTTTATCTTAAACTTAACAGAGAGGATTTAATATCACCACAGAAACTTGGGGTATGCTATTTTTTTCTCATGTCCTGATTATATTAAAAAATTAGTTTTAATTAGTTGCATTTTAATATGTTAAAAAGCGTACAATATAAGGGACAATGTTGTCCCAATGTTTGCACTGCAGTTCACCAAATCTGTGAGCATTTTCTTCTGGCCTTCACATTAGTTCTGGTCTTTCAAAAACTTTCTTACAAGACATATCTGAGCAGCAGTGTGTTTGTATGCTACACTGGTGATCTGGATACATGCTTTTTCCATGTAGTTTTCAGATGTTCATGACTTTTAATGCTTAGTTTTGGTGCATTGCTCTGATGTTTGCTTGGGCAGCGGGTGTGAGGCCAAGCTATATTTGAGTGAGACTGTGTTTATGCTTATTTTCTAAATAAGCCTTCTCAAAATTATCCATTTTTTTTCCTTTATGGTTTTCTTGTTGGAATGGCAGGTTAAGTTCTAGTTGGAATTCTTAAGCAGCCTGCTTTTTGCACAATTTTTGTGCCTTTTTGGGCATTTTTAATCACTGCTTAACAGAGCAAACTTACAACAGTAGCTAAAATGCTAGCAAAGAGGTTATATGTAGACCTTTTGCCATTCTTGTGGTTCTTGGGCCTACTGTTGCCTTGGCAAAATAAGGAGTCTGAAAGAAAATCCTAATATTGATGCTCTCTCACATTTTAAAGCCTTAAATACTTAAGCCTTGTTACAAACCAGCAGTCTACGTTCTGGTTCCTATATTATCATCTGGCTATTAAAAATATTAGGAATCCATTGTAACATGAATTATATTTTCAGGAAAATGCCAAATGAGTTTCTCAATTTGTTCAGGGAGCTTTTATGTAAAAGGATAAATTACATTCGTGGCCAGCAGGCCAGTGTGTGCAGTTTACAGCTGGATAGTGCAAGCAAACCAAATAACCTTTGCAGTGAAACCTTCCTAGAGCAGGCTGAGTTTAATTTTACTCTAAGCAGATATCTATCTAAGTACAATTTTCGGGCAGTATTAGAGAACACTGTGTTTAAAGTCTTGAGTAGCTTATATAAAAGATTGTCTTAAAAAGCATGCTTTCAACCTATTTCTGCAGTTGTTTTCCTCTTCAGAGTCATAAGCCTTAAAAATGTGAAATGTTTCAGTAAAACATTAAGTTTTGTTTTTCTTTCTTCACAGGCATGTGCATTGGTTATTTTTGGCATTTGTGTTGGTCTTCTCAGTTTAATTCTAATAATTTTCAATTGGATTAATCAATAAAAGCCTCTGTCTAAACTGGACTTGAGAAAGACAGCAAAACAGAGACTTACCAAAACTGCCGAAGTGAATGCTGGACATCCTAAAAAAAGAAAAAAAAAAAAGAACAAAGCTATCCATGGAAAACAACAGCTCTTTTTTTTTTACTCCATTAGTAACGAATCTTCAGCTAAGCTCAAGATTAATACTGATTCAATGTCTTTGCCATTTTAAAATATTAGTTTTTAATGATGTAATAATGTCAGGTAAAAAACTCTGTACAAATTACTGCAATCCAACAATGTCCAAATGCACTGAGTGAACAGAAAAGAGAACCTTGAAACAACTTCGGATTTTCTTTTATTTTAAAGGGAATGAGACAGGCGGATTTTCTGTCAGTAATGATGTTCATATCAAACATTTTCCCAACTAATGAAAAACTACTATTGATTTCAAATAAGTCTGAAAATTTTACGTATGTCGTATTAAGAACTTCCTCATTCAGTGAACAAATGAATCTTTGATAAATGATTAATTTATCCTAATATAGATCCAGAAGCTGATTGTTTCAGCCCAGTTTAAAGGGCATGTCATTGTAATAGGAAGGTTTCCTCTAAGGTTTGTTACTGTTTTTTTTCAATGCAGTTTTTTTACTTGAATCATATTAGAATAATTAAAAAAAAGTCTTTCCACGTCTAGCATAGTATGTTTTAGTAGCGTTAGGAAGTATTTCCATTTGAGTATTCCTTGATTTACCTCCATATTCCTCCCAGTGAAAGACTTTTCTTTTTGTCTCTTGCTAGTGTTTTATCTGTGAACTACCTATCTGTGAGCATACCTTTATTTTATATATTATTGTGATCAGAGAAGGTTTGGACTTAAAGGGTGAAATTTTGAACATGTTGGTGACAAAATAAAATTTTATGTTTATGCAACTCTAATCTTACCCCAGATCTCTAAACTTTCGTGTACCCCTTTATAGTTCTTTTTCTGCCTAAATGAAACATGAATGCAATTTTCAACACCAACTGAACTCTGTTAAATTTGCCCACCACAAAAGTGCTTCATATTAGTGGAATGAAAGCAGTGACTGGTGTTGTGGAAGCTATTTAATTTTTTTTTTTTTTTTACTTTCAGATGAGATCTAATGTCTTTAAAATGGAAATAGCCTAATCTCTTCAGGGATTTTATGCCCTAAGGAAGTTAGGTCTGCACATTAATGTCTTGTGTAAAGTTAAAAAATTAGACCTCAGACTCAAATGTCAAGATTTAGAGAGTGGGAAAGTTTTTAATTATTTCCAGATGCAATATTTCTTTTAATTTGGCTTAGCACTTTTGTATCTGAGGAGTAGAATAAGACACAAGTGAAACATAGAAAAATGTAATACATATATATGTAATATAAAGGCTAAAGGTAGTATTAGGGTATATTTAAATAAAATTTTCACCACTTTATTTTATAATTTGGGGTGGAGGGGATGCCCCAGAGCCCAGCATTTCTAGTTTCTTAGTGGCAGGTCTGTGCAATTAAGCTGCAGTATAAAATTGGAGTCAAAAGCAGAAAATCAGAAGTGAAAAAAAAAATTGTCATCTCTAAGATGCTTTTCGCTTTGGATAGGTGGCCTGGAGGCATCCTGGAGGATGGGCCTTGGGAATAATCTGCTGCTTATGAGTTTAATGTACAAACAGATTTGTGTGGTGAGGCCTAGAAACTAACCCGGAGGTGGCATTCGGATCCCTGTTCTGCAGGAATCTGGATACATCCTGGGACAGACTGGTTGTTCTTATTATGAAGTTTCTAGCTGAGGTTTCAGGACACGGGATGAGCCAAGCTCATAGTTGGTTGCTGCCATAAAGACCATGTTCCCTCCTGCCAGAAGGTCACAGCTGCTCGTGGCGCCCGCAGTGGCTGCAGGGCAGCGCGTTGGACCAGCAGAAACCGGTGCGGCCAAGGAGATGTGACAAGTGACCTGCCAGCAAAATGGATGGATTCAACCAAGGTAGGGCATGAGAATAGTAAGGGAGAGAGGCTGCTTTTTTGAGCAGTGTCACCCATTAGAACAAGTCCTGCTGCTGCCCATGAGACCTCACACTCAGCCCAGCGAGGCCCACGGCTGGGAGCAGGGTGCGTGTGAGCATAGGGGATGCTCCTGGCTGCCTCTGCTCAAGACTGCTTTTCAGCACTTCATTAGTGACTGAGGCTCTCTATCTTGCCTTTCTTCTCGTGGTTCTCCCCCCCTTTCAAAGTCCTGATGAGCAGAGGAAGCCATGTCCCTATGTGCGACTGTCCTTTAACACCCAGGCTTCACACCCCCTGTTCTACTGCAGGGGTTCAGCCATGCCAGGTGTCTCCATCAATAGCATAAAAAGCTAAATATTTATCTTAAAAGTGTGCCATGAAACAGCAGAGGCACCTGGAGATCAGACAATAGTTTTATATCTGAGCCAAAACTCTTTTTAAAGAAAATAGGAAGCTTTATCTTCATGTGAATGAATTGCAGGGTTGCTATTGTTTTTGTTTTCCCGGACACTTAGAAATTAGGAGGAAGTGGTTGAATTGGGAATGTTTGTGGGAATTTGCTGATGTATCATCCTCCTGCCCCTTATGATTAAGTAGTATTTATAAAGCATCACTACAGTTAAGTATTTTAAGCTCTAAACAGGAAGTTTTAACAGTGAAGACTTAAATTAGGTGTAAAGGTGCAGAAAGTTGGCAGCGTTTTGCTAATACTCTGTTCTTACACAGTTGGATTTGTGTGCATCATGTTGAAAAAACAGGACTCAGAAAATACCTGAAATACAGTGTTAATTTTACAGCTGATTCCTGTAATCCTATGGAAATGACTGCACTATTGTTTTTAATCCCTAGGTGTTATCTAATAGCTAGGCTTTTAAATGATTGATACCCATGTATGAAGTTAATATTCTGCTAGGATGAATGGAAGCAATTCACACCTCTGCTGGAGCTCTGTTCTTATATCTTGGCTGAAGTGCAGAAAGGATAGGAGTGGTGATTTACAGAACATGTGTTATCGTACTGCGAAAGAGTTAGAAATATTGCTACTTTAAAGAAGTTTATGTGATACATAACTTAAAACACGGGAAAAAGGAAAAAGAGCTTCTGTTTCCAAATTTAGAAAAAGATACAAACATTTCTACAATGAAAAAAGAAAAACACTAAGAATGCTAGTTTTATCCTTGTACTCTCTCATAGAATAAATGCATTGTATTTCTGTCTCCTTACTGGTTATGCCAGTGTGTCCTGATAGCAAAAGTCATCTTAAAGTTTACACAGTTGCCATACAGATCGGATAGACTTAGTCTAGATGGAGTTTATTGGTGCACCATTTCTGCTGGCCACTGCATATCCTCAGGGTGGAAGTATCACATGGGTCTGAATGGGCTTGTGCTCACATGACAGGGATGAAGACTAATTGTTTCACTATAATGTTAGGCAAGGCGTTTTTCTGAGCAAAATAAGCTCAAATTTGGACTTCTGAACTCACATGCTGCTAAGTGTATTTTTCTTTATTCTTATGTACAGATTATTATCCGAATTTCCAGTTTTATAAATTCCAGCAGTTCTGCTTTATTATCTGTTGTTAGCATTTCTGGACCTTCTTCTGAAGATTTGTCAGGAATGGATGAAGGGCCCCAGAGCATTTCAGAGCTCACGTGAGGAGATTGCCTTTCTGAAGTGAACATGAAGAACAATGTAAGAGAGATGAAAATTAACTGGTAGCCTTTGATCTGTTTTCTCCCATTCTCCCATTTCCACTCCTTGTCCATTTGAAGGCTGCTGCAATTTCAGCCTGGCTGTAGCCAACTGGGTGTGGAGAAGTGTCCATTTTATATAGTCTGGTGTATATTCTGGTATATAATACCAGAAACTGGTATTGCAAAAAGAAAGTAGTCTTAACTTGTCCATTTATTTATTGATTGATTGATTGATTGAATTATTGATTGCTCATTTTTTATTCCTTAGTAGAACTATTTCTAAGCAGCTGGCATCTTGATGCTTGCTTTTCATTGCAGTGTTTGTTGAAAATTTTCCCTTTTGTCCCAGTATAGTGAAAATTGAGACACTGAAGCAGTCGTATCCTCTCTCTGTCTCTCTTCAGTTTGCATTAGGGTCAGTTACACAGCACTGATGGGGATGTGCTGTAAGTTGTACAGCCCAAAAGATGATTGCGCAGTGGTCACTGCTAAAAGTCCATCCTTAATTCAGACAAACCCTTGGTCTGCCCATCATGTCTGCTCTTATAATAATTTGTTTCTGCTTTTTAAACCTGGAAACACCTTAACTTTGCATCACAGGTATTTATTGATTGATTGATTGATTGAATTATTGATTGCTCATTTTTTATTCCTTAGTAGAACTATTTCTAAGCAGCTGGCATCTTGATGCTTGCTTTTCATTGCAGTGTTTGTTGAAAATTTTCCCTTTTGTCCCAGTATAGTGAAAATTGAGACACTGAAGCAGTCGTATCCTCTCTCTGTCTCTCTTCAGTTTGCATTAGGGTCAGTTACATGGCACTGATAGGGATGTGCCGTTAGTTGTACAACCCAAATGATGATTGGGCAGTGATCACTGCTAAAGGTCCATCCTTAATTCAGACAAACCCTTGGTCTGCCCATCAAGTCTGCTAAGAATTTGTTTCTGCTTTTTAAACGTGGAAACACCTTAACTTTGCATCACAGGAGAGGTGTGCTGAAGTTAATTTATGTCATGTTGAATATGTTTGAGGTGCCCAGGCTCCTGCCCTTTCAGGCCTCCTGGTGAGGATGAAGATAACACAGGCGTAAGGAGATCTCTGCAGCAGAGTGGAGTCACACGTAGCTCCTAGCAGGGGACAGAATCATCAGTTAGACCTAGTCTTGAACCACTGATAACCACTGGTAACCACTGATATTTCTGTAAATGATTGAAAGAGATGGATGTATTTACTAAAGCACCATGACAAACATTTGAAGATTAATTGGGTTGTTTCCAAATGTCCCTACTAATGAGATTGAAATTAGCCACCTTCTATGGTGTGCAGCCTTACATGTGCTCTAGTTAAGAGTCCAATTCAGCTCAGTGCAAGAGCTAAA